AAATGACATAACATCTTTGCCAAGAGATATTCACGGCGCTCCTGCTGAAAGTCTTGTCATAAAGTTGGCTGAAATTATTGGAAACTACAAGACCCTCCGAAAAATGACTCTCTTCTGGTTCAGGGTTGTTGCTGAAGTATGTTTAACGCAAAAATAACTTTTAGTTATGATATCATATAAATACTAAATTGTTAATCTAGGAATCTAGTTTTGATATATGTTTTTGATCACACTCTTCGATATATATTTCTATCAAGTAACTCTTGTTTAACGAGTTACAATCTTAGTAATAGAGTGCATCGTTATTACTAGATTAATATCTTTATATTAGATCACATGATTTGGACAATTAATATCTTCATATTAGATCACCTTATTAAGTTTATTTATTCTTTTCCTCTTTTTTTTGGTAGTTATTGTAGAAGTTAGTGATCTTTTTTATTTTGTTCTAGCGGTGGGGTGGTTTTTCTTTTCCCATTATGGTTTTCGGCTATTGTTGTTATATGTTTTTCTAATCCTGGTCTCATAAATCTGTATCCAGTTACTTCCTTTCTTTCTTCCCTTAGTAAATAAATAAAAAAAGTGAAGGAAAAGCAGCAAACTATTCATATTCTGAGTTATTGGAAACTTATAAATGCTCTGAATACACCTCAATCATATGAGTTTTGATTCATCCTGTAAAGTTGTTTGCCTTATTTCTTTCCCCTTCAAATCTGCTTGTCCTTGAAAGAAAAGATATAAATGCTATGTCAACTCTGGTCTAGAATTTGTAACTTGAACTTAACTTTGACTGTTAATGCTACTCCTTAGTTTTCCTTCTTTAGTAATGGCTGAAGAAGAATATTTTTTTTTATTTATTGATGCAGCTGAGAAAATTTTGGTCTAAAGAACAGTATTTACCTGGAGTCCCCCAGAACGAGATTCCAGATCTGAAAACATGTCTTCTGTATCAACAATTTCAAGTAATTAATTGTTGTATTTCTCGGAAGAGGCTCCGTATCATTGCAACTGAATCTCTAGAATCCATGATGATGCAAGCTAGTTCAAACATTAAAGAATCAGCCAATGATGATGATGGAGCTCCCGCAGGCCCGGTTTTATATGCTAGATTAAATACCGGGGAGCGTGTTCTTCGACTTGGTGCTGATTGCCGGTCTGGTGATTTGACATTGTTGGAAACTGGCGAGCCCGTGTACTCTCCTGTCACCCAGGTTTGATATATTCATTTATTGTTCTCTATAATTGCTATTTCATCTTGTTATTATACTTGAGATATTTGTGATCATTTCATGTAGGAAGGACCTTTGCTTACAGAAGATTTAATCAGAGAAACAGAGGAGTTTGTGCTGCGGACTGGGAGGTCTGTAGAACAACTAAGATTCATCTTTGACCCAGTTTGTTACCTTACATTATATATCTGTTTTCATGTTTTCCTTGTATAAATCCCAATTCACTGTTTTATGTCACAAACCTTCTGACCGAGTCATCAACCTCATCTTGCTTTTTGATTAAATATGCCTTTTGAATTGTTTGACTTGATCTAAACCTATCACCTGTTGACTTACATCTATTACTTCCAGTACCAATGTCTGGGAATCTAAATATATGGCATGTGTTTACTTAGATCTGTTTTAAAATAATTTATATAAATTGAACTAACGAACTAGTTGGTTAATATAATGTTCACCTAATGTTATTTTGAAATTCATTGATGATCGTGTGTCGGTTTCTCATGTGACTAGTATTGCAAATGCTGGGTTCATTTGACTGCAGATATGCATCCATTATGTAATACCTTATTCTAAGTATCAACTATGCATTTCTTGATTACTGACTTACTTTTTGTGGTCAGTGTTGGGGCTGGCTGCTCGCAACTTCTCTCAGATATGCAGGCTTTCAAGGTCAGGCTCTGCCTTGAAGTGAACTTTTCTTTCCATTATGAATGCTTCTAAGCTCTAACACTTTTTAATATGCCTAATTTTCTGTTTTGAGTTCGTTCTGTTTTTCATCATATTTTAGGCAGCGAATCCTGGATGTATTTTGGAGGATTTTGTAAGATGGCACTCACCTCCTGATTGGACAGACAATGAGGCTTGTATTGAGGACAGTGATGTTTTTGACAGTGGCGAGTCATTGTCGATCAGAGGTCAGCTAAGTCGGCGTATGCAAAAAGAAGGTCTGCTATTGGTCTTTTTTATCCTATATTGATGCTTAAAATCTGCTGCTATACAATTTCTTATTTTTATTTTTATGTTATTGGATCATCAACATTTGATACAATAGTGAATTTTATCTGCTTGAAGCAAATACAGATTATTCAATGTATCTTGTCACCAATCTTGAGAAATTTTTGCTCTATGGTTATAAATTTTGTCATCATTTAGTTTTGTGGCTTTGATCTACAGAGTGGTTGTAGTTTGGTGAGTTGTTAGGAAGGTACCATGGAGCATACATTATAAAGCATGAATGGTTTTATGCAGGCTGATGGAATAGCTCTTGTGGTTAACTGCTAGGATTTAGGCTTTAGAACGTCAGAGGAAGGTATTTTTAGGCTTTAGAACTGCTAGGATTTAGGCTGAGGTAGGTATTTTTGATATTGAACTTATAATTAATAATTTCAAAGGGGATACTGTGATGTAATGGTTGGAATTTTGGCGGTGTGACTAAGAGGTCACAAATTTGAGTTGTTAGTTTTAGAAACAACCTCTTGCATATGTAAAGTAGGTAGGGTTACCTACAATAGACTTAGTCACAATGGGCTCGCCTCTTTCCTGACCTCTGCCACAGCAGGAGCTCATAGCACTAAGTTGTTTTGCCATTGATATTGGAGTTTCGTATTCCCAACTGCATTGTGCAAACCATTGGTTTGAAAGTCTTTGCTTCTTATGTGTGACGTCTATATCTTTATGGCATCTGTATAAAATATATATTGCCTAAGTTGAATATCATATAACATATATGGTAAAGCATATGCAGATAACTGAATTTAGATTGTTGCTTAGTTTTATTGTAGCACAATCTGTAAGAAACATGGCATTGTTGAGCACTTAAGTTGTTTTGATTCCATATCAGATTTTTTTTCTTCTGAATTTCATTAGATGTTGATGATAGGTAATTTGTGGCGTGAATTGTGGCTAACATCTAAACCAGTACCGGCTGTTAAGCAGGCACCTCTCTTCGATGAGGATTTGGCAGTGTAAGTAAATAATCAAATTTTGTATTTATATTCTTCCCTAATATCATTCTTGAATCTCATTTTGCATTCTTGTGTAGAGAGGGCATACTCAATGCATTTGAAGACATCCATCCTTTAGAGCTTTTTGGACAGTTGTTTGTCTCTTTAGTAAGTTCTTTCTTTTCGGACCGTTAATAACTATGCCAAGATACAAGATTTTATACAAATCAAAAACTAATTGACACTTGATGCCAAAACTTACTCCCGAATCGGATTAGTTGGTCTAGTGGACCGGATACTGGTAGTGAAAACTAAAAAAAAATAATAATAATTGACACTTCAAAGTAGTACTTTACTTTAACCGTGTGTCATTTAAAATATAAGGAAATGTCCATCATAACTCTCCAAAGTGCAACCAATGTTCAAGTTATTTGAAATTATACATATGTAATCATGAAGACAATATCAAGTGATTTGATGATTGGAGTGGTTAACTTCACAATGTATTAAGTGGTGCAACGGTTAAAATTTGATACCTAACGTTAATTGATTCTGTCCTACCCACGCCCACGGTTATACAATTTTTATGCTTTTTCTAACTATAACCTTTTGTCTTGATTGTATAGCTCGGGTTAGGATTTGCGATTGCTGAACCTATGCTGTCTAGTAACAAGGATTTCTCAAAGTTGTTCTGTGACTGCAAGGAGTACATAGTTGCTACTTGCCAAAACAACAAATGGAGTGAAAAAGTTGATGACCTTGTCCAGGTGGGTATTTTTTGACTGTCGCTAATATACGAAGTTACATAGCATCAAATTATTCCTCTAATTAGACTTTGTTTATAATAAGAACATAATAAATTGATAGTTGTTGTAGATTTCTATACACAACTAATTAGACTTTGTTTGTAATAAGAACATTGTAGATTGATAGTTGTTGTAGATTTTTATATACAACAATTTGATAGTAATATCTTTCAATTGAGATACTAATGGTCACAACTCATATTCCTGCCTAGGTATATGACACAGTGGAGACAATGTTACTGAATCCTGAAGAAGCATTGAAGATGATGAAACAGACAGAAGAATCAAATACTGTTACCGATGAACCAAAGAGCCGTTTTAAGCGGCTTAGCTTTATCTTCAGCAGCAAAGATAAAGTATTGAAGAAAACCCCGTCAAAAGATCAAACAAACGATGAAGAAAAGTCAACGCGGCAATCTTTCTCAAGTTTCTTTGAAAACAAGTCATCTTTATTTTCAAAGAAGCCTCCTAGGTCTGGTTCCCCTTCTCCTTCCGAGAAACCTCCTCTCGAAACCGATTGGACAATTGTTTAACAAATTTCATCTTCTCCCTGTAAATATATACACCCACTCTCCCACTTTAAGCATATAACTGTAAAGTTTCTTTATTCTTTTTCCCAATACTTGGTTGGTGAATTTTGTACAAAGTTTAATGAATGTTGTGTTTTTATTTGTTTAAATCTGATGAAATCGGATATTTTTCTTTTTTTAAAGTGATATTTTAGTTGCATTCTTTCCCTTTTTTGTCTCACTCGCAACCCGCCCTTATAGTCGCGGCTTACTGATTATGAAGTTCTTGTTTGTATACACATCCATTAAAGACCGCCTCTCCGGAGCAATGGTGCAAGAACATTTTGGTTTCACAAGATTGTAACAGCTACAAAGTTTAAAACAACACAAATTCTTTTTATTATCTTAAAACAAACTAAAGAACCAAAGACAGTTCATACAACTAGAGTCATTGTTCCAGCATCTTCAGTGCAGAGTAATATAATTTTTCTTCATATTAGGAGTGCTTGTCTATTTTTCCTCTACATCATCAACCTTCTTGTCTTCATCGAATCCAAAATTTTTGGTAAGAATATCCGGCACGACGAAATTTGATATGAAGTATACTGTTACAAGCAGGACACTGCAATGTATAAACAAAAGCATGAGCACACAACAACCTTTAAGTTTTCACCTTGTTATATCTTCTGTAATTAATGAACTGTGACATAATAAACAAGGGACAGAAAAAACCGAACCTTATTGGAACAAACGTTGACAGGTCACCGGGTCTGGGCGGAGAAGTAGCAGCAACAACAATGAAATCTGGAATTGCCTTGGTCCTTAATGAACTTGCTGAAGAAAAGCTCTTGCAATGTGGATCAGTCCTGCTTGGTTCACCCCAGAGTAGTTTTGTAGTATGCTCCATCCCTATGTGATGTTGTTGCTGCTGTTTGAGTTTTGTATGCATGGGAAACAATGAAGCGTGGAGGTGTAGGCAAGTCATGGTGAAGCTTAGTTCTTCACTGTGGAGAGCTTCACTTCAGAAAGATATAGATTTGGTTCAGTGTGTTCAACTAATTTGCTTGGGATAATGCTTGGAGGAGGATACTTTAATAAAGATGATGTTATCCTTACATTACAGCTACACAGATGGTCGTATTTAGGGACAACAAAAAAAAACTGTATCCACGGGTAAAATCCGTCACGGGTACGGGTTGGATAGCTTAACGGATATCTATAGATAATATAAATAGATATTTAGTTATTCGTTTTTATATGCGCACGAATACAGATTTGATGGTATTTATACTGCCGGATATCCGTCTCCGTTAATAATTAATAAAATTGCTTAAATATCCTTTTAAAGTTAGTATACTTAAATTACTTGATAAACTTTGATAAATTTATTTGATGTTTTGATAAATTAATATGTATTTTGTTAAAATTTTCTTACATTCTACAACAATATTCTCTATAAGATGCTTTTGAATTTAATATGGTAAATGCATTCAAAGATTTTACACATAATTCTCTATTTATAAAAAGGTAAATTTTCTATTCAAAATATAGAAAATTAGTAAATTTTAATTAAAAAAAATATCCATAAATATCAGCCGGTATTTCAAAATCCACGGATACCCGCACAGATATGAGACGGATACGAGTATTATTTTTATTAAACGGGGCGGGTAGCAGGAGACTAGTACCCGTCCCCGTGGGCACCCATTGCCATCCCTAGTCATATTTTATTTTTGTATGATTGTTATAGGCAATTCTATGCTATTATTATTCAACGGTGCTTGACACAATATTTCATACTTAGTCCGTATACTACGCGTTTACAAATACCACAAACAATATTTTTTTTCAAATTATTATTTTACATGTTTAATTACCGTTTTGATCCTTTATCTTATTTGATTCATGAAATTGGTCATTCTATTTTAAATTAAAATCGTTTTAGTATCCTCTCATACTTTTGTAATTAAAATTAACGATATTTTTATTTTTAAAATGATCATTTTTTTGTGAAACATGACAAATCATCGTATGTAAACATTATTGAATGGTAATTTAGTATTTTAGTATGTTGTCTATGTAGTCATAGTATTTGATTATAAATAGACTAGTGGTAGCTGTCATTTATTTCATCCATCATCTTTCTTACAGTTTTTGTAGCCGTCATTGCAGAGCAATAAATATTCTCTCATTCTTTTTGTTTTCATCACCTTGTGCACTGACAATTGGTATCTAAAGTTTCGGTTCGGAATCATAGGGAAACACGAGTGAAATAGTGAGTCGTTGCGTGATTGATTTTATTTTTTGATTTTGTGTTGAATCTTGAATGGAATCGTAACTGAATCACATTTTCTGATTCTGCGGGATTGGAAAACACTGTGTTTGGTGAGATCTGAGTGACTTGCACAAGGTTGAAGGTGAACGGAAACGGTAGTATGAGCACCAAGCTTTCAGTGTTCGATGACAAGAATTGAAATCGTTGGATGATTCAGATGTGTGCGTTGTTTGACGTTCAAGATGTTCTTGATCTCGTCAACGATGGTTACATTTCAGTTGCACTTCTAGAAAATGCAACCGATGCGCAGAGAAATGCTCCACGTGATCTAAGGAAGAAAAATTTGAAGGCGTTGTTCTACATTCATCAGTGTGTGAATGTGAACGTGTTTAAGAAAATCGTTGATTCAACGACAGCGAAGGCTGCGTGAGACACACTGGTTAGGTGTTACGGTAGTGACGCATCAGTGAAGAAGGTGAAGCTTCAGTCTCTATGAAAGCAATATGAGAATCTCAACATGAAGGACAACACGAAGGTATCTGAGTACATCTCCAGAGTGATTTTAATCACTAATAAGATGAAAGCTTGTGGAGAAACCCTTTCTGAACAAGTAATCATTGAGAAGATATTGAGATCCCTTACTCCTTAGTTTGATTACATTGTGGTAGCAATAGAACATTCTAATGATATATACACCATGAGAAGTGAAGAGCTACAAAGCAGTCTAGAAGCACAAAAGTTATGATTGAGTGAGAGAACTTCTGAAAGAGAAGTATAGCAGCATGCTCTGAAATCAGCTTCTGGTAAGAAGCCTTAGAAGCAATCTTGGTCAGAAGCCATAAGAAGATTTGACGGTGTTCAGAAGTCAGAAACCTCAACTTCTGATAGGCAGAATAATGCTCTGAAGAAAAAAGAGAGGTATGACAAGAAGAAGATCCAGTGCTATTATTGTAAGAAGTTTGACCACTTTACAATTGATTATTGGTCAAACAAGGAAAAGAAGTCAGAAGAAGCAAACATAGGCATAAGAGATTTTGATGATGAATTTGTGTTATTGATGGCTTATGAGTCTGATGATACAAATTTGAGAGACTGGTGGTATATGGACACTGATTGCTCAAATCATCTTACTGAAAATAAGAAATGGCTAGTTGACTTTGACTTTAGAAAGAGGACAAAGATAAGATGTGATGATAATAAATACCTCAATGCTAAAGGTATGGGAAATTTCAGAGTTGTTATGAACAATGGGAAAACAACACTAATTCAGAATGTGTGGTATGTATAAGGCATGAAAAGTAATCTGATGAGTGTAGGGCAACTAATTGAGAAAGGGTTTTCAGTTACCATGAAGGGAAATCTTTTGAAGCTGTATGACTGTAATCAGAACCTGATTATGGAGTTAGAACAAGGAAGAAATATAACATTCAAGGTGAATGTCAGAACTGCAGACTCTGAATGCCTTAGTGCAACAAGTATTGTGAAGGGAAGTGAGCTATGGCATATAAGATTTGGTCATCTGAATTTCAGACTCTTAGGGCATCTGAATTCGAAGAAGCTGGTACATGGAATTCCTACAATTAAGAAGCATGAGAAGTCATGCAAAATGTGCATGGAAGGAAAGCAACCAAGATTGCCATTTGCATCAGAAGTAGCTTCAAGAGCAAAGCATGCCTTGGGAGTAATGCATTCTGATGTGTGTGGTCCATTTCCACTAGCATCGATTGGAGGATACAAATACTTCATGTCATTTATTGATCAATTCACAAGGATGACATGAGTATCCCTTATAAAGTTCAAACACGAGGTGTTTGCTGAATTCAAGAAATTCAGAATGAAGGCTGAGAATTAGAGTGGTTAGACTCTGAAGATTCTCAGAACCGATGGTGAAGGTGAGTATAACTCCATTGAGTTCAGAAAGTCATGTGATGAGAATGGAACTGAGCATGAGGTTACCGCTCCTTATACTCCTCAACATAATGGTCTTTTTGAGAGAATAAATTGTATTTTGCTTGATATGACGAGAAGCATGCTGAAGGAGAAAAAGCTTTCTCACACCTTATGGGGAGAAGTTGTTTCTACCGCAATATATGTGCTCAACAGATGTCCAATGAAGAAATTGAAGGAAATAGTTCCTATTCAAAAGTGGATTTGAGAGAAGCAAAGTGTTAGTCATCTGAAGGTGTTTGGTTCTATATGTTACAAACGTGTTCCCGAAGCCATAAGACATAAGTTGGATGATAGAAGTAAAGTGATGTTACTAGTGGGGTACCACAATACATGTGTGTATAAGCTTTATTGTCCAGAAAATAATAAAGTTGAATTCAACAGATGCGTCATTGTAAAGGAATTAGAAGCTTGGGATTGGAATAAGTCTCAATCCAACTATGGTGTGAAAACTTCTGAAGAAAAATCAAAATTAGAAGTTTATGAAGATGAGTCAGAAGTCTGAGAAGATTCTGAAGGCGAGTCTGACTCTGATTGTGATTCTGACTCTGAAGGAGACTCAGAAGGCGAAGACGATTCTAATCCAGATTTTGATGGTGATTCAGATTTTGGGAATATTCCAGACTCTGAAGGTGGTCAAAGTTCTGGAGGAGGCCAACCTTCTGAATGAGAAGCTTCTAAAGATAGAACTTACGAGGTTCCAGCATCCGAGAAGTTTTTCAGAGTATGACATGCTGCGAGATACTGAAATAAACTATGTGGGAGAGGTTATTTAGTGTGCCATGAAAGAAGAACTTAAGACTATTGAAAGAAACCAAACTTGGCACTTGACTAAGCTTCTAAAGGACAAGAAAACCATCAGCTTCAAATGGATTTCCAAGGTGAAGCTAAAGTCATATGGATCAATTGGCAAACACAAAGCAATGCTAGTAGCAAGAGGATTTCTACATAAACATGGGCTGGATTATTCAGAAGTGTTTACACATGTAGCGAGACATGAAACAATCAGATGGGTGATTGCAATAACTATTAATAGAAGTTGGCTTCTGATGCATTTAGATGTGAAATCTGCATTTTTGAACGGTCCATTACAAGAAGAGGTATATGTGTCACAACCTCCTGGATTTGTTAAAAAGAATCAGGAAAGGATGGTGTACATATTATATAAATCTTTGTATGGATTGAAGCAAGCGCCCATAGCTTAGAATCTGAAGATTGATTCATTTTTCAAGGAGCAAGGGTTTAAAAAATGTGAGATGGAGTACGGTGTTTATGTTCAGCATACCTCTGAATGCAATATGATTTTGGTGTGTTTGTATGTTGATGACATATTGCTGATAGGGAGTTCGAAACAAAAGATAGCTAAGTTCAAGAAGGTGCTGATGAATGAGTTTGAAATGACTGACCTCGAGAAAATGACATATTTTATGAGGATGGAGTTTATGTACTCTAAGAAGGGTATCATTTTGCACCAGCTGAAGTATGAACTTGAGCTTCTGAAGAGATTTAAGGTGTAGAATTGTAAGGTTGATGTCACGCCTTCAGAAATCAATAACAAATTGGATTTTGATTCTGAAGGTGAGGATGTGGATGCTACAACCTTCAAACAGTTTGTTGGTTTTATGAGGTATCCGTCTAATACCAGACTCGATATCTGCTATGTAGTTGAAATGGTTGGTAGGTTCATGAGTAAACCTAAGTGGTCCCATTACCAAGCTGGTTTCAGGATTCTGAGGTATATAAATGGAATTTTGAAGTATGGA